GTCTGTACAGTGCCTAGCGCACTTGCTGGTTGGGCCCCAGGCACTACACCATAATAAACGAGGTAGTTGGAACTGTCTGAGAGAACTTTATTTTTGCTGGTTTGGATTGAGAGCTCCAAAGTCTGGATGTGAACATGTAACTAAACAGCCCCGACCTTTGTACAAGCTGTTGCCAGAGTCAGGAAATTTGATGGTGGAGTCACCATAGTCTAGTGCAGGGGGTGGCAAGAAAACCAAGTTCTATTCCTGGCTCTGCCATTGATCGGCTGTATGTGACTTTGGCCAAGTCACTTCCCCTCTCTGTGCCTCAGTTTCCCCTCCCACTCTTTTCTGACTTGTCTGTTTTGCTCTTTGGGGAATGGACTATCTCTCACAGTATCCTTTTGCAGTGCCCAGCACAATGCAGCCCTAGTGGCAAATGAAGCTTCTAAACCCACTACCGTATAATAGTATGGTTTAGTTTTTGCTCTCCCCCAACACCCCACTGTTAAATGTTGTCTATCATTTTCTTGGTTTACGACACAGCACCCAGCATGATATAAGAGATTCAGAGAAACTTCTCCTTGAGCCCTGCTCCAAGGGAGGGTTTCTGGGTACCACCTGAGTAAAAACTGAGGTGTAAAGGACCAGAGCACAGGTGGTCAGAATGGCTGGGCTGAGGTCCATACATCAGGGATGGTGGTCGGTGCGCAAGGGTCAGAGGAATCGCTAGAGCCACATTCAATGAGCAAGAGTTAGGGCGACCAGACAGCAAATGTGAAAAATCAGGACAGAGGGTGAGGGATAATAGGAGACTATATATGAAAAAGACCCAAAAATCAGGACTGTCCCTATAAAATCAGGACATCTGGTCACCCTAGCAAGAGTCGGGGTTAAAGTGAGGCTGTGGTCAGAGACCAGCGGTAGTACCCGGCTGGAGTCTGGGTCAGAGTCATGCTGGGATCAGAGATTAGGCTATGTCTGGAGTCGCACCAGGTCTAAAGTCTGTGTGCTTGCCCAGACAACTTTGTGGGTCACACTCCAGGGTTAAATAGGGCACTTTGGCCAAGCAGAGGGCTGCAGAGTACTGAGTCTGTGGCTTTTAAAGGCCTGCATCAACAGGCCTGGGTTTTTTTTGTTCCACTGCTGGGGATTTTCCTCTCTCTACTTCTCCAGCTCTCTGTAGGGAAACTTAGTAAAACTATTTCCCTAAGCTTCAGCCAACCCATTGTGCCAAGGTGCTTCCAACAGAATAGGTGACCATGAACGGGCTAATGATCCACCGTGACACCTGGTCTGGGAGGAACTCAGTACAGCCCTGACTCCACATCGAGGCATTCTGTGATACAACTCCATAACATCAACCAGAATTCGTTTTAGAGAGATTCCCCAGTTCATCACATGCACCTTTATTACATGGGAATCCTGGACACTTCCCAAAGTTCTATCCTACAGATTGGACCCGTGTGTGCAAATGCCACTTTCCACCTTCTCATATGTGCCACCCATTTCAATCTCCAGTGCAAAAATGGTCTTCTGGGGGTTTTCTTTAGATCTCTTGGATTTGCTCCAGGCTGTCTCACCGACCTCTCCTTCCTCTGCTCCAGGACCATTAGCCTTTGCTGTACCCTTTCACACACACTGACCACCAGAAACAAGTTATTGCTGACTATAACCAGGGATCACAGCATGCCCCAGTCAAGTCTCTGTGGGTTCTTCCACCACAGACTACTGCCATGGAGCCTGCCATGACCCAACCTTCACTGTTCATGACTTGTTACTGCACCTTGATGCTCAAAGAGCATTAACCGCTCACTTGGAAATTGAGAGGAACTGCACTGTCATTCTGTATCTAATTATTATTATTTAACATGTGGGGACTAAGAGCAAGCTAAGAACGGGGCCCATTGTGCTAGGCGCTGTACAAACGCAGAGTGAGTAGTAGACAGTCCCTGCCCCAAAGAGCTTACAGTCTAAATAGACAAGCCAGATACAGGGTGGGGGAAGGGGTAGGACACCGAAGAAGAGCGAACAATATGAGTCCCAGGGTTGTTTTGGCAGGTGGTTTTAGTCGGGGGGTGGGAGGTGAGCTAAATGGAAAGAAAAGAGGGATGAAGGGGTCAGGGCAGGGGAGAAAAGGAAAAGAAGGGCAGGAGTGCAGCAAAACAGAGGTGATGGGACTGTGAAGGAGGAGAGGTGGGCTGGAGCAAACATCCAGTCAGCTCAGGGCAGAGAAAGTCCAGTCAAAACCGTTGGATCCTTCTCCGAGTATTCAAAGGATCCTGCTTTGGCTACCAGCTGGAGTCTCAGATCTTTAATGCACTGCAGTACAGAGTAAATAGGAATTTGTAGGGCTAGGCAGACTGCACTATGTTACTGTCTGCCTTATAGCAAACTGCATTCAGTTACTGATCAATAACTGTACATAGAGGGATCGGGCAAAACAAATACGGGACTCAGTTCAGCACAGTGTTTTGTACCAGCCATGAGAAACTATCCAATGAGGGACAGGAGCTGTGCAGACTGGAAACTGACAACCTGATAAGAGCTCTCTGAAGAGCTAACCCTACACTGCTGCCAAGTGGGGGCTTCTCACAGATGGACAAGGAAATGCCAGCTTCCCTGAGAATCAGTTCCCAATACTTCTTGCTCACTGTCATCACGCTAACCAACGTGTCAGTTTTTTAGAGTATGCATGAAGTTAAGAGGAAGACAGCTTCCTGCTGAGATCTGGACATCTCTGTTGCTGATCACTAAGGGTACGTCCCCACCACAAAAACCTGCTGGAAAGAGAGCCCCCGAGCCTCCATAGACTCGGAGACCCATCCCCCTCACCCAAACATAGACTGCTATTTTTAGTCCCGCAATCCTGAGTCAGCTGACTGGGGCTCTGAGACTCAGCACTGTAGGGTTTGGGGTGTTTTTGCAGTGGAGACATACCCTAAGGGCCTGATCTAGAGTTCACTGAAATCAGCAGAAAGACTTGCAATGACTGCAGGGAGGTTGGAATCAGGGCCTTCCTTTATGTATATTTATAATGTTTTATTATTCCAAATACAAATATATCCAAATACCAGTTTCATCATAATTAGGCTATTACAATAATAACGACTAGGAAGGTGAAGTTTCTCTAAATCTCAATCTCGTCCTGTGTTTTGTTTCTCATTGACAGATACCGCTGCTCTCTTAATCCAGAGTTTAGGGAGAGAGACTCTAGACCTGATTTCCTATTTATTCTAAACACTTTCTCTGAGCCAGCGAATCTCACATACAGGATGTGATTAAAATCAACACAGCATTATTGTCTCTCTACGGCTTGGCGGACAATAAGAATGAATGAAGGTCATGCCTAGTGTAACTCCATTGAAAGCAATGACTGAGGATGGAAAGTTTGCTTACTTTAATTTTCCTAATCATTCCTTTAAAAGTACCCCCCACATTGGCTTTTCTGCATCACCAGCTGGACTAACTCTAATAAGTTTATCATGACTGATATCAGGAGATATTTGGCTCTCTCTTGCACATACTAGGTCTTTGCATTCTCAGGAAATCTGCTCTAGTTTCCTAGATATAGCTGGCTAAAAAGTGGGTTTTAAAAAACAGCTGAGCAAAACTGTTCTTCCCACCAGAACTGCCTGAATTTGTATCAGCTAGGTTGTGTTCTATTGCATGACCGTACAAAATGAAATATGCTGGCTCATCCCAATCCAATTCATTGTGGGACAGCCTCAATCTTTGTTTTGCAGTGTCCCTCGACCAAAAAGCATGGGGGTCGCGTGTCCAATACCAGTTCCATTAACTGGGGTGCCAGTTACAGCCGTGTATGTGAGAAGCAGAATTTGTCTCAGCCTGCTGTCCCCTTACACAGTTTAAATCCCATTCAAATTTCAGTATGGTTAGTGGAGTTATTTTGGATTTATACTGATGTAAGTGAAGAGCAGATTTTGTCTCAGCATTTGTTGAGTTACCAAGATCTCTGACATACCCTTCCAACATGACTCGGTTTCCCCTTGGTAATAGCAGTGAGAGGAATTTATTATTCATTCTTCAGGGTAGCTAGTGTTTTTTCTAGTTTCCTAGAGTTCTGGAAATGGGAGATCCTGTCACTAATGTGGTTCATGGTATGAATCATATCCGTTTTTTAAAAAGCACAGAGGAAGAACCGGATGTATTGTTTCCAGAGTAAAACGTGCTTAGTCATAATTAACTGAGACAACAAAATGTATGTATTCTATGTATTAAGAGCCTGACCTGCCAAGGTGCTGAGCGCCTTCTGGGAAGTGCTGAGTACTCTCCATTCCTAATGACTTCTTAGAAGTTGAGAAGTTTCAGCATCTTCCTGAAAGCACTTAGGATCCAGCAGGATTGAACTCTCACTGGTAACGAAGAATGAATATATTTTGCCTTAGCAAAAATACAGTTAAACTTTTGTTGTTTGAAACATTCACAAACAAATTCCTCTTTACAGCTACATCATCACAACTGCCACAGCCTGCTCCCCCCTGCAGATGGCATGGTATAGTTCCTGGCTGTGCCATCCTGCCCCAGGAAATCCAGCATCAAGGTAGAGACAACAGTGTTGGAGACACGGGTAAATATGAAAGTGGACTGTAGCTTCTGTCTTCTCAGCTGCTTAGGCATTGTGGTCTTGCTCTCATTCATTCTCAGAAGTGGCAATTTGTATCTGGTAACAAATGTAATACACGTATCGCTCCCATTCGGAGAATGGATGCTGAGAATGGCACTAAACTGTGGAGCCTCGTGTCTGCAATAGACTGGCAAAGTCTTAGCCCTGAATTTGTAGACACTTCTTGCTTTACTGGAGTGATGCAAATACTAGTTTGTCAGTCCATGTGCCCTCCACCAGGAACACCCCTCTTCAAAATTCTCAGTTATATCAAACAAGGGTTAAAAGTGGTCAGTAGAACATATAGTTTAGAGTGTTGTATAAACTGGGCTAGTTTTGTAGTAACTGTCTAAAGCCACAGTGTTGATCAGGGAACTGATCCAACCATTATTTAGTCCATCGTATAAATATTCTCTTCTGCATGGACCCCAGCTTCCAGCGTGCTCTGGAAGCCTCCATGTTCTGGGTTGGAGAATGAGACTGAGCTGCAGAGAGAGTAACAGACCCTGACCATTAAAACATAAACAACAAACCAGAAACACAAGACACCCGATATCCAAAGCAGATGGTGTACTGGGAAAATATGAACTATAGTAACATTTACTATTAGACGCTAGTAATAATGAATCATTATGTATTTATAAGGCACCGCAGGCCTGAAGATCTCCTGTTGCTTAATGTAAAATCAAGAAATACAAACCACGAGCCAGATCAACCGTTTGCTTAGTAAACAAAAAGAAGCACATGAGGAATAGCAATGATAATGAATTTCTCTTTTTGCATTGTTGTGTCAGATTATCTGTCCTGATATGACAAAGCCAATCAAAGTAAAAGCATGCAGCTCTGGAAATGTCAGCGTGTGTCCTGGAGAGTCTGTTTGGCACATTTCTTTGTGTCCTACCAAAGGTGCAGACATTTTGGGACCTAGTTTTTGATTATGGCTACAGCAGAAACAGCATAGCGAATAGCATTTACCTTGCCAAAGTCTTCAGCTTCTGTCTGTTGTGGAAATACCCTGAGGATCGTCCAAAATAGGAAAGCCGGGGGAGGGAGAAATGTGTTTGAAAATCATTAAAAAAAAGAAAGCAGCAGGTTCAATGAGAAAAAGTCAAGTGCAAAAGTTGAAGTAAGGGAGCTTTAAAGTGGGTCTTTTAAATATGTGAAACACCCACTATTTACATGAGGCCAAACTCCCGTAGGGGCTACCCACGTGTATACCCTGATTGAGAGCCGCCATGGGAGAAAGTCTGCAAAAGGGAACATCGTGGCTGGCGTCGCACAAAGCAGCTGCAGCTTCCCTTGTGATCAGGAAAGGCCAGGAGAGCACAGCACCCACACTGAGTGGGGTGGGGGCATGGCCAGTGCAGCATGGAGATGGATTGATATAGGTCAGGGGTGGCCAAACTTACTGTCCCTCTGATACGATAATCTTCAGAAGTTCGAGAGCTGGGCATGACTGCTGGGGCTCGGGGCTTCAGCTCTGTGGGGCACACCTGCCAGTGCTCCTGCCCTGCAGTGGCATTGTGGGCTAGGAAATTCTGCCTCAGGGGAGGGACTTGCCGTGGTTTGGGGCTGAAGCCCCAGCAGGTGCCTCCGGTAGGGCTGAAGTCCTGAGACCCCCATCCCTGTTGGGCAGAAGCCCCCAGCCCCTCCATCCCACCACAGGGCAGAAGCCCCAAGCTCCCGCTCCAGTCTGGTAGACGGAGAATGGGCGGGGGGGCTCCATGAGCCGCACTTTAACTGTAATAAAGCACATGCGGCTCCGGAGCTGCAGTCTGGCCACCCCGATATAGGGCATCCTCTGAGTAGCCACCACTGGCCAAGGTCCTAGGGAAGCAGAGAAATAAAACTATCAGTCTCCTTGGATTATCGTCTATCTCAAATCACTTACTTTTGGATAGAATTAGGGCCAAAACCAGGATGACTAGAAGTACCACAAAAATGCTGATTCCAACATGCATCCCTGCCCCCATGGATTCTGGCTCCATTAGCTGACGGATTGACGTGGACATAGTCTGCTGAAACACAGAACTCGAGGGTATGAGGGGCAGGAATAGAAATCATATAGACGACTTGAAAAATCATTTGGCTGCAAGGTAAACGGTAAACACACACTAGAGATAATGCACCCAACTTGAGACAGTGTGTGATTTCCACGGAGACACTATGAGATTCCATACAGCTGGACTCTGATTACGGTTGGGATTTTCAAAAGTGCCTAGAGGGAGCGAGGTGTCCAAACCCCATTCATTTATGTAGAATAGGTGTATATTCTAATTTTATTTATAGTTTAAAGAAGCAGCTCTTCATTCCAAAAGCCTGCGTTTAAGGCCAAACACTGCAGCCCTTATTCAAGCCTTGATCCTGAGAAGTGACGCATGCCTTCAATTCCTATTGACTTCAGTCTTTAATTAGACAAAACTCCCTTTCAGCTCAGTAAGGAGCGAGTAAGGACTCCAGGATTAGCCCTTTCTATATGTCACTGGAGTTTGTTTGCATTTTGGTAACAAAGGCATCAGCGCTATTTCCCGGGCACCAGAGGGACAGACTCAATAGAAGTATTTCTCTTTTCCAACCAAAAGAGAGCATGGAAAGTGATCTGCAGAGACAATATAGTCACTATTCCGACCTGACCACTTACAATTGAAGCATCCTGAGGGGCTTCTGAACTGAAAACCAACGGCCATTGTGGGGCGACGGTGGAAGGTGTATCACTGGCATTCGCAGCAGCTGAGCAATGATAAGATAAACCAACATCTCACTTAGCACAGCTAATAATTCTTTCCATCTTCATAGCTAGACAACGCCAACTTCTCTATCTAAAGTGAACTGATTTCTCCTGAGAACCGATGGGCTTTTGACGGCACTGTAAAGGGCAAGCGGTGTTGCATACAAGGCTTCACAAAGCTGAGAATACTTTTATGTAGCATTGAGGCTGGCCACAGTGAGACAAACTTGCAAAACTTGCAACTACAGCATCTTGACGCGGTGCCTATTTCCCGGCTTAAGGCAGCACCGTATAACATTTAAAACACAGGGCTAGAAAATGCAAAAACTTTACTACAATGGTTCAGTGAATGTGTCATTTGATTACTGAATAACCCCACAAGCAATAAAACCAACCCACCAATCCCAAGACTGAAAATGTGCTATCTGAGGATCTACAATTAGTGAAAATGGAGTCCCCTCCTGTTTATTTTAAGGGGACTGATTCTCAATGAGATGGTCTGCTTCAGCTGTTGTCTATGCTCGGGAAAGGGTGGCATTTCCTGACATCAAAGTAACACAACTGTCTGTCTCTTTTTGAGGCTTCTTCACGGATGTGTCCATTATACACATAAGTACACAAGTTTCTCTGCAGCTAGAAACACATCACATGCTGAGAAAGTTTTCACTTCCTCTTCTGAGAGGGCAACAGAACTATGTGGAAACATGTTCGAGTTGCTGAGCTCACAAAATCCAGATGAATGAAGCTGGCATTTCTGGTTTCAAGTTCAAGCTGAGCTCAGAAGGCTCAAAAGCAAAATATAAAAAATAAATATTAAAACATAACACAGTTTTAGCAGGCTGCAAATTGTTTAAAAGACCCCTTCAGACCTTCCCATCTTTGCTTGGGGCTTATTGTTAGATCACAGGGGATCAGATTTTATAATATACAAGTCAAAGGGAATATTTTCAACTACTGTTTGTTATTTAGTTCCCCTTCTGGGATCCCATTACAAAGGGACACACACACACCCGAGAGGCGGAATACTTGGATAACCATTACCTGAGGTGTGTTCAGATGTGTTAGTGTGAGGGCCTGCAGTGGAGGTCCTAGCTGGTGTTAAAAACAAAACAAAAACCACACATATTACAACAGTCAGCAAGATGTGTCCAACAAACTGAAAGAAATAAAATGCTTTAACAACAACATATCACCAGCAATAAAACCATATCCCTTTATCCATCTGGTTTATTGCAAGAAGAAAATGACTTTGTAACTTTTATTTGCAGGACAATACAGTGCAGCAAAAGGAGAGAGAATGAAAATCACAGTTACACTATCGATGTATCTGCTTGGGGGTTTTATCCTGCCACCTGTCACCATAGCCTCTGAGCACCTTCCATGTCAAATCACTAACGAAGGTCCTAGCAGACTTCCTGGAGGGTCTGGACTTCTGCCTTTTCTGGGTAAAAAAGTTGGCTTGGGGTAAAGTTTGAGGTTTGATTTTGCTTGTTGCCACAACTGGAGTTGTACATTTTAAAATGTGTTATTTGCCAGACAACAGAGCTGTAGGGAGCCCGTGTTGAGATTAAACTTCCGTGTATAAAAATCAGTCATGACTTAAGGCCGGGTTGTACAAACTTGACTTAGGTTGATGAGCACTGGCTCCAACAGGAGTACTTTCATGAGTGCTCACCGAGGGCTGGAATTCACCTGTATGTTGAGAGCCAGGCCCTGGCACCGCTTAACTCCGCCTCAGCCGAGAGAGGGCTAGATTCATACCTGGTGCAAGAGTACAACACTGAGTTCAACGGAGCTGCACCTGCTGATGCCAGGTCTGCATTTGGCCCCACAAGTTTGAAAGGAAACATGGCTTGGTAGGGGAAGATATAGAGGTTCTGTGGTAGGGCAAACAGATAAGTCTAGGTTTCTAGGGGTAGGAACAAAAGTCAGTTAGGGTCTGCTCCAGGCAGGTTTCCCGGCACCAGGGTGAGGATTTATAACATTGGAATCCCAGAAACCAGAGAGGGGACCAGGCTTTCCAAGGAGAACATGTCGCCAGGGGCTCGGGAGCCCTGCAGAACTTTGTGATGTCTGTCACAGCGGGCACAATAGTATCCTTTTTATCTTCATGAATTAGGGTGTGACCCAGAGCCCAGTAAGGTGGATGGGTACCTTTCATTCATTGTAATGGCCGCTGGATCTGCCCAAGAAGGAGGAACGTGAACACATCTACCCACAAGAGGGGATTATTGTGCCTAACTAATGAGAGAAGCATACTATGCTGTCCACTCTCCTGAATGCTACATGCAGTATTGCGAAGATTGCTAGTAAGAGCGGTGCGCCATGGCACAAGGGAACAAAACGTCCATTCCCGTGCACTGGCTCTTCTGGGTTACACTGATGGCAGAGGCTGCTTCCTTTCCACAGTGGTAACGGTACAGCTTCAAAGTCATAATGGTTAACACTGCAGGACATTAATACATTGTTTCTGTCACAAGCTGAGAGAGTCAGCCAGAGGGCAGGAGTTTTACCCTTCAAGGACACTCATACAAAAGAAAAGCTCTGCTCACCTGTCTCAATTGCAACTTCCAGATTCTTCTGCTGATCATTGAACCAACCAGGGATCTCCACACGGCAGCAGTACACCCCTCCGTCTGCTTCTGCCACATTCACTATGGTCAGGGACACATCCCCCTGAGTGAGATTCCCTTCTAACTGGTATCTGCTGGACTGACGCTTGGTTACCCTCCGTCCATCTGTCCAGAGAATTGGCTGAGAACACTGAAAAGAAGGACAGCTGCCCCGACCCCAGCACATTGTTGTGATGTCACTTTGGAGATTAACTTGGTATTTACAGGGCAAAGTGACGTTCTGACCCACCACTCCTCTCACTGGAGAGCCTGATACTGTGAGACCTGCAGACAAAGATACAACAGTAATTGAGAGGGGGCTAAGATACAATGCACAGGCTAATGGGACCTGCTTGACATCTCAGTCACAACACAAAACTGTCCCTGTAAGCTCGCCACATACCTCCATTGCAGGTGGATCCACTGAGGTGTGTGTTTCTCCTCCTCCCCCCAACAGGCGAGGATGACAGCAGGACACACACCATGACGCTTTTGCCCACAATGTGGTTCTGTCCAAGCCCAGGAAGCACTGATGTGCCCAGCTGCTGCCCCACCTCACCCTGCTCACCACGGCCAGGACCATGCAGGGAGAACAGTTCTTGAATCTGCCCCACTTAGCTATGGGCAATTCTCTCAGCAGCTGTGTGTGCGGCTCCCTGACCTAACAGGCGTTCAGTTGTCAGGACCCAGGACAGTTTGGGAGCCATGGAAAGGCACACAAGTCTGTCTTCATGTTGGTGTCACTTGTTTGTGAGGGAAGCTATGCCGGCTAATCCTCCTGACAGTGGCCCACAACCCCTGTGGTGTCCCTGGATGGTTCCCACCAGCAACTGTTACAGATCCTATGATAGTGGTGACTATAATCACCTCCGCTATAATACGGCTTTTGTGGGTGTGCAGTTCTCCAGACCCCCTCTTGACTCCTCACTCACAGGGGTTCAAGATAGTATGAGCTTCACCAGGACTTGTGCAAGACTTGTTCCTGCAGTACCTGGAATGGATAACTCAGACTCTGTTGTTCTTAATGGGAGGATCTGTTGGGTTTTACTCGGTCTATGATCCTCTCCTTCCTTTCCCTGTCCTTTCTGAGCCAGAGCCCAGACACAGGGTGAGGTAGGAGCATGTTACTGCTGCAGGGTCATAAGCCAGATTACTGTCTCTGTCGGTCTCTGGCTGCGGGTGGGAGCGGGTAACGAGTTTGGTCTAACAAGCTAGCACAGGGCAGCTGGAATGGGCTGGTCTCCTGGTGGAGGCAATACTAGGAGAAAATGGTGAGACAGGCTTCAATGGCTGAATTCCCCTTGCATGAAGATGCTGTGGTTTCAGAATTCCCTAGTGGGCACATATTCTGGGCTAGACTCTCAAGATAGCCCTTAGGGATGTGAAATTCACCCCCATGCAGAGATCCAGCACAAAATATATGCATCACCTACATCCTGTTCACTTTGAATTTCATCTCTCATGGAAGAGCAAAGGAAGCTCTGCTTTTGATAGAACAGGTATTATAAACTTCCTATCCAATTGAATAATAGGGTATCAATAGGTTTAATTCCTCAATCAAGTAACTCCTAATGCTACCGGGGTAGAATGCTCTGCAGTGGGTGTTAATACTTCCCAATGCAATTTTTCCAAATTGGTCCAATATAAATGAGGGTTTGTATGGGAAAGGAGATCAATATTCGGTAGGGGTTAGTTAAGCTAATCCTGACCTTTTCCCAATGAAAACACTGTTGAACACCTTTAACCTTGATTTAGGTGGGCAAGGTGGATAACGTTAGCTAATCAACCTCTTTTCCTAAAAAAGAGGGACCTTTTCAGTAATACAACTGCTTCCTACTGCAACTTTGCCACAGTAACCTGTGAGAAACTCAGCTCTGACAACATATGGTATTAGCAGTTCATAAAGAAACATTTTTGAATCCCACCTCTCATTTAGCAAAAAGAAATATTTTGAAATAAAAACAGAAGGAGACAGAACCTGTAATCTCACTTTTACAGCATATGGACCATATCCTGCCATTTTTAATTTTTGTATTTAAAGCAGATCTCCCTGGCCTGACGGCATTAGGTGGCCCATTATCTTCACAACTGCTCCCCACCCAAAGTCACAGCACACATTTTTTCTCTAATATATTAACGGTTCATTTTAAAAGTGCACTAAAAACACTCAATTCGTTTACAGAGGGAAAGTCCATAATACAGACAGAATACAGACGAAATGTTCACATACGGTAAATTAGGTCTTGTTTTATATATATTTCTAGATGACATGGGTTTATAGATCTATGCTCGTCTCTAAAGAGTATAGAAAGACAAATAAGTTTTATGCAAATGTAGTTTGCCAGTCGGTATTTCAGACCCCACTGCTCATGGTTCACATTTGGATGATTATTTTTGTAACCATAATGCCCAGAAATTTCCTTTTTATAAAAGAAAACGAAAGCTAGAGGAGCTCCACAGAAGGCTATTGAGCAACTCTGGCTTATTTTTTACATTGCAGAAGATTGCAGAGTCTGTGGCAAACTACAACACTGTGACACATGACCAGCCTTCTTTAGGAGACATCCAGTTTAGTCCATGTTTAGTTACTCTCCAGGAAAACTCAGGAACTATTATGCACTAACTGCCCATCAAAGCCCCATCCACTATCTGTTATTCTCTTATTCACCTTACTTACCTGTAAACAGGACCATTAGGATCCACTCCGAGATGAAATAAGGAGCCATGGTGATAACTGACAAGAAGGCAGAGAACGGTCTTCTTTAAACTTTGCAAGGGCTTGAGGAAAAAAAATAATGTTCTTTTCTGACACAATCTTATAGTTTCACTTCCCTAATGTCACAAATGATGTCACACTTAATAGACTGAATATTACTCATAGGCCTAATCAGGGTTGGCTTTTCCTGTGGTTAGCAGCCTTTTGCTCGCTTTCTCCAAGTCCACACTAGCAATTAGCTGTTGCTGACAGTGGATGCACATGGTTTAACTGCAAGAGCAAACCACTCAGAAGCATTTCAGAAGCCCTGGTTACAACCTGCTTGACCACAGTTTCTGAAATAGCATTGAGCTCAGATTGTTCTTATTGCCACTTGCAGTTAAACTCTGTTCAGCTGCACCCGTTTCTTACACCCAAACTGTGGTGAAGTGTAGAATATTCTTGATGTTTCTCCCTGCCCCCCATCGTGCCCCTTTGTTTAGCCACATTGAATAGATATAGCAAAAGAGTTCACATGAGTATGTACTGCAGAGAGACAGATGAAAAAGAGAGACGGGGAGGGAGTTCCTAGGAGAAACATTGGTATTAATGGATTCCCAAGCGTTTACAATTCATACTACCCTAACAGTTGTTCATTTTTTGGAATAATATATTTCTGACTATTTCCATCTGGCTGGCAGATGTTGCAAAAATACTTTGACCATCCAGATTATTAACCACCCAGATAAGACTGAGACCCACCACCAAAAAATATTGGCAGACTTACACTGTTCCACTGCTGTAGCCTACAGGGAGTTGCAGCATGTTGTCACTAAAAATACTCAAGTGATGGAAAAGATGACTGGCCTCTTGGACAACTTCTCAGGACCACTGCTTGGCTACTTTCCCCTTCAACAGGATACAGGGAGTGCAGGATTCCCAGAAAACATCTTTAAAAATGTCTTTGAGCCTAAGTCTTTAACAGATTTACTTTTCTCATTCTTCGGGTGGGATCTTGGAGGGAAATGCTGCTTTTTTCTAATCTCTATCCTCACAGGGTCAGTAAGGGCATATAGAGTTGTTACCAGATGATCAGTAGAGAAGCTTTATTGCATGATCTTAATTAAAAATACCTACATCTAGCACCTATTAGCCCCTGCAAGTTTTCCAGTAATCAGTTACGTGACTCTGCAACAAATTGCTTATAATTAAATTAAACCTCTACCATGGATTTAAATTAACAAAACCATACTTCTGAACCATCCACCTCAACATTTCCATAGTTGAGGTGTGAGAGTTGTGCAAAATTCTGCTATTTACAACTCACTTTAACCCACTATGCAGAGAGGGGCTGTGAATCCTATAACTGATACCAGGCAGTGAGATAAATGAGCCAGTATGATTAGACATGTGCCACTTGGTTTTGAAGCGTAAATGTCAAAGATCAGGCTCTAGTTATTCTTGTTAGCTGTGACCACAAACTGTTCCAGATCTCTGTAATGAGGGTTAAAAACAGGGGTGAATAACTTAAAGGACTTACCAGTACGCAGGGAGGCTGCGGTCCTGCGCAAGGTGTGGGGGGCACGCCACTCTGTGCCCCCGGAAGGGGCGTGGCCTCGTGAAGAAGGGGCGGGGCTGCGGCCAGACTCCCCCAGCCAGCCCTTCAGCGCTGCCCGATTTAAAAGGCCCAGAGCTCTGGTCACTGCTGGGAGCTCCGGCCCCTTTTAAATCACTGGGCCCTGGGACAGCTGCCCCTTCCCCCGCCCCGATCAGTGGCCCTGCCAGTACGATCGCCTGTGTACCGACGGCCACTGTCTTACTGGTACACCGTACTGGCTTACTTTCACCTCTGGTTAAAAACCAAATAAAGGGCTTACTTAGACATTCATTTTATACCAAAAGCACAGGTTAATAAGAGTCCTCAGTTAAGTGACCTTTATTTAATTCTGTTTGCTACCAGAAATTGGCAACACACCAATTAAAATCTTTGTTTCACTTCAGCAGCTCTCCACCACATAAAGATCACTATGGCGACTGACCACTCTGCCGGCAGTGGCAGCAGAGGTGGGCACAGGCTTCGAAGGACTTAATTCTACAGCAGTCTGTCAACCCGGAAGTTTTCTGCATCCACTAGAATTCACTTGCACATTTGAAATGATCTACAATGTCAATGAAATGATCCAAGTCCTTCAGTGAGCCCAAGACACAGTGGGTGACATTTTTGAAAATTAAACATTGTTAGATTTCCACAAGAATTAAGTATTTAATCAGAGACAGGGCTCAAGGAGTCTGGAAGTCTGACAAGTCTTTTCATCTGCTTGCAAATGTAAATGGTTGGATTTTGGAACCTTCCTGCGTCTCTTGGGTGCACGGTAACGGAGGATAAATTGTTATGAGGTGGGTGGAGCACAGGAGCCGAACCACTGATGCTGGGTGCTTCTCTAGTCTCAGCTGGGTAACAGCACCCTGGGCTGTTTCCTTGAGAAGGGCTAGAGGGATATTGCACTGAAGTTAACCCCTGAAAAATCTATGGTGCCTCAGAGATGTGAGAAAAATCACGGGGACACATACAGGTGCGCAGGCAGAGTCTAGCATAGAGGTGGGCAAACTACGACCCGCGGGACCGTCCTGCCCGGCCCCCGAGCTCCTGGCCCGGGAGGCTGTCCCCCATCCCCCGCAGCCACGCCACCGCACGGCACAATACTCTGGCGGTGGGGCTGCAGAGCCCGGCCTGACGCGGTGCTCTGTGCTGCACGACATGGCTGTCTGTCCTGGAGCAGTCGCACCGCCGGTGCTCCAGGCAGCATGGTAATGGGGGCAGGGGGGGGGTTGGATAGAGGGCAGGGGAGTTCAGGGGTGGTCAGGGGCGTGGATGGGGTTGGGGCAGGCAAAAGGCAAGGAATGGGGGTTGAATGGGGGCACGGGTCCCAGGGGGGCAGTCAGGAAGGAGAGGAGGGGTTGGATGGGGTGGTGGGGGGTGGTGAGGGGACAGGGAGGGTGGATGGGGCAGGGCGCCTGGGGGGTCAGTCAGGAGGGAACAGGGGGGTTGAATGGGGTGGTGGGGGGCAGTTGGATGGCACAGGGGTCCCGGGGAGGCAATCAGGAAGGAGGGGGAGGTTGGATGGGGCGGTGGAGGCAGTTAGGGACAGTCAAGGGAATGAGAGCAGGGGGTGGTGGGGTGGATGGGGCAGGAGTCCTGGGGGGGGCTGTCAAGGGACAGGGGGGTTGGATGGGGCAGGAGTCCCGGGGGGCAGTCAGGGGACAAGAAGCAGGGGAGTCGGATAGGGGGCGGGGGCCGGGCCATGCCTGGCTATTTGGGGAGGCACAGCCTCCCCTAACCGGCCCTCTATACAATTTCAGAAACCGGATGTGGCCTTCAGGCCAAAAAGTTTGCCTGCCCCTGGTCTAGTGGGTGAAAGGGATAAAGGGACCCTGGGACATTCTGGGAAATAGCTGCGGAAAGGGTATGTATGTTTTGGTCAACAATTGCCACTGTCTGACAGGGTCTGATCCAACTCCCATTTACTTTGAGAGGAATTAGATCAGGCCCTTCGTCAAGAGAGCATAAAAATATTTTTGCACAAATGTATTTGTTTTTTGTTGGCGTTGGGACTAATTAGTTAAAGTTCGCATGATGAAAAAGCACTTTGTAAATACTAGGTATTATTCCATTAAATCCTGAGGTCCTTGCACACAGCCTGATTCTGTATATACGAAAAGAACCATGTTGCCACATCTGGAGGATTGCTAGAAACCCAGAGTCGCTATGGAGATTCAGAGCTTCTGTGCAGATTGTCTTGATTTCTACAGGGATCCCTATGGTTCTCTGTGGGGACGCATGAGCTTTGTGGTTTCCTCTTCTCAGGTGCTCAGTTACTGTGGCACTTGCTCTCATTCAAAGAAAAGAAGGAACAGTTTGCATCTGATAATAAGTGTATTCTTGTGCTCCATGACTGAATGAACGAATTCTGAGAAAGATGGTTTGCTTTCTTACACTCAGAGACTGGAGCCTGGGCTAGACTGGTGAAGGTTTAGCTTAGAACCCATAGAAGCTTGTAGCTTGACTGGAGGTGATACTTGTAATATTTAGCAGTCAATTTTCCCAACACAGGGAGCATCCCTCTTAATTTTGCTGCTTGATAGAACTAAGAATATGTATAAACAATGACTAACAATGGTCAGTGGAACATACAGTTCAGGGAGCAGCATAAAATGGGCTCTCTTTGTCTTTAGTGGCTAATACTACGGTTTTTCAGCCAGGGCGGCTCTCTGCACACACATCTTTTCTATGGACAGTTTTCAGCCTGCTGTGTTGGCCTCAACCTTTGGATCCTGCATGCTTCCAAGCCACTGGGTCTGAGCAGTGTCAAGACACAGTCTCTGGTTTGGCCTGTCAGGCACCCCCATCTTGGGATGTTGGATGCAGCTGTCATAGGCCCCATGACCTCTGCTGAAGCCCCCAACTGTCCCTGGTAATTTATGCACTCTACCCGCCAAATTCTACCCTTGTGGCACTCCAATTTATGGTTTAAGCCTTCAGAGACCATGTGACAGTTAAATCAAGGAACAATTTGCAAAGGAATTTCACATGCACACTTTAGACTGCACAAGAGATTTACAGAGCTACAGAAAAAATAAAGACTTGAATGCAACGGCCCCACCCCGCAGATGATCTCTTCCTTCCGTTTGGGTCTGAGGTGTGCCTGGTCAGGTGAGGTGGAGACTCCCTTGTCCCTCTTGCTGCTGGCGATCGGTGGCTCCCTCTACACAGAAGCCCCCTCGTTTATATACATGAACTTGGTCTTGAACCCCAGTGTGATACCTCATGTCCCAGCCATGGTTTGGAGGGGCTGAGGCTGATAAGAGTCATAAGCAAGTCAATAATTCTTTGCAGCCATCCGGGTGACCCATCCCATGTTAGTTCTGCGTAAGGTGAGAAACACCACCTCCTCGCTGATCACCACCTCAGGCTATGCACACCCCAGTCCAAACCGGCTCTCCGCCCACGACACACTGTAGGATGATTCACAAAATGACGGTTATAACCCTGAATGCAGGTTTACAACCACAAACGATACTCACAAAACAAAAGGAGAAGCGTAAACTGACAGACGCATTCCCAGAACAGTCACACACAGTATCTATCCATCCTGTACTCATTTTCCTCTGCATTGATCCCAGCTTCCCGTGTGCTTCAGATCCCTCCATGTTTTGTGCCACAAAATGAGATTGGGTTGGAGCAAGAGTAATAAGCCCAGACCTTTAAATAACAAGGTCTTAACAGTAACACAACAGGCTGGGTAGTGAAATCAACCAGCTCACTAAGAAAATGGGAATCAGAGCAGAACTTATTAAACAATACTTATAATCAATACTTGAGTATTTAGAAAGAATTCCAAGCCCAAAGGTCTGCTTCTTAATACAATGCAAGCAAAAACAGTTATGCTCATATTTTGCTTACTGGTTAACAACAAATAGCAATGATCATGCCTCATTGTCAATTAATCGCAGTTAATTCATGCAATTAACTCGAAAAAATTTATCGCAATTAAAAAAATTATTGCACTGTTAAACAATAGACTACCAATTGATATTTATTAAATATATTTGTGTTTTTCCATATTTTCAAATATATTGATTTCTATTACAACACAGAATACAAAGTGTACAGTGCTCACTTGATATTATTTTTATTACAAATATTTGCACTGTAAAAATGATAAACAAAGGAAATTGTATTTTTCAATTCACCTAATACAAGTGCTGTAGGGCAATCTCTTTATTCTGAAAGTGCAGCTTAGAAATGCAGATTTTTTTTTGTTACATAACTTCTCTCAAAAACAAAACAATGTAAAACTTTAGAGCCTACAAGTCCACTCAGTCCTACTTCTTGTTCAGCCAATCGCTCAGACAAACAAGTTTGTTTACATTTACAGGAGATGCTGCTGCCTGCTTTTTATTTACAATGTCATCTGAAAGTGAGAACAGGCTTTCGCATGGCACTTTTGTAGCTGGCATTGCAAGGTATTTACATGCCAGATATGCTAAACATTCATAGGACCCTTCATACTTCAGCGACCATTCCAGAGGACATGCTTCCATGTTGATGATGCTCGTTAAAAAATAATGCGTTAATTAAATTTGTGACTGAACTTCTTGTGGGAGAACTGCATGTCTTCCGCTCCGTTTTACCGCATTCTACCATATATTTCATGTTATAGCAGTCTCAGATGATGACCCAGCACATGTTCATTTTAAGAACTCTTTCACGGCAGTTTTGACAAAATGCAAAGAAGATACCAATGTGAAATTTCTAAAAGTAGTTACAGCACTAGACCCAAGGTTTAAGAATCTGAAGTGCCTTCCAAAATCTGAGGGGGACGAGGTGTGGACCATGCTTTCAGAAGTCTTAAAAGAGAAATACTCTGATGTGAAAACTATAGAGCCCGAACCACCAAAAAAGAACATCAACCTTCTGCTGGTGGCATCTGACTCAGAAGATGAAAATGAACATGCATTGGTCCACTCTGTTTTGGATCGTTATCGAGCAGAACCCAACATCAGCATGGACCCATGTCCTCTGGAATGGTGGATGAAGCATGAAGGGACATATGAATCTTTAGCACATCTGGCATGTAAATATCTTGCAACGCCGGTTATAAAAGTGCCATGTGAACACCTGTTCTCACTTTCCAGTGACATTGTAAACAAGAAGTGGGCAGCAT